CCCCCCCCCCCCCCCCCCCCTCCAATCCGAGTCAGAGCCACGATTGAGCGTAACGAGGTGACTCACCATCACCTCGACGTGTTGAACTTCGACCTACTTCGAAGCAGAATACTGGGGCAACGGCTGAATTTATTGTTGTTGCGGCAAACACTCTTGTTAACAAGTTTTCGTCTTATTTCTAGACGACAGTGGAAGAGCGCACTGCTTGTCGTTTGTATACACTGCATACGGATGAGTTACTTCTCGTAATATTAACTATTCAGAACGAAATAATACCCAAAATCTCAGTGTTGACTGACGGCAGGGTTCAGGCTTGTTCAAGGGTTCACCCGATTGGTTAAACCGAACAGCGCGTGAAGTTGTAGTTTAGCCTTGTTTCAGATTACGCCATCCGTGATAATCGATGCAGTCACCGAAATGCCGAATTGTGACTCAGACTTCCACAGCTGGCCACCGCGAAAAGGGAAAGTAGCATATAGATGCAGAATATTACGAAATTTCGAGATTAATGGGTCACGACGACGGATAGCAAAGAAAATACACGATCCTGCGATCTACTGTGAAGAATGTAAACTGCTACAGCAGTTCCGCCGCATTGTACTAGTTACTAAAACGCCCGTTTGATGTCAGAAGCATGCATTGCGATACGTTTGTTCAGACTGTAACTAAAGGCTCATTCAGGGGGCTGAGCAGTCATTGACATGTGGATATTTTGTTCTCACGGTGACATGCACGAATATGGTTGCCTCAAAAATTACAAATATCTAAATCTTTCAATTTATATCTTGTGATCCTCGTGCTTTAATGCCTCCTGGACGCCACTTGCGTCAGAAATATCTGGCTGTTAGAAAACTTAACATGTCTCGTATAGTAACTGATCCTTTATAAAATCATGGAAAGTCATAACACTACATATTTTATCCTAGTTAAAAAATACCTACTATATTTACCTGATCAAATACAAGATCTCAAGTTGCATATGTGACTACCTTCTATAGGTACCTTTCTACTATTTTTAGAACAAAAAACGGCATTTCTGACTCAGAACACAAGCAAAGCGCAATTACAAATCCATCATAATCATTATTTGTTGGAAAATAAAAATGGTAAGATACTATAAAAAAAATTTGGAAGCCCAGACTGGGCTCACAAAATACAAAGAACATCTTTCCTTTACATAATTATTCTGCAGAATATAAAACATAATATTTATACAAGTTATTTGACACAACAATGTGTTCATATTAATGTTGGTATTAATTACTGTATTTGTATTGTGATGTATTTAACTTAAGGCGTCTATTACTGTACCAATTCACAAGGACGGTGACAAGACCATAATAGTAATCTGCCTACAAAATTTTATCCAACATTCTTCTGGTAAGGCTCCATATGCCAATGAAATTATTGGAGACCATCAGTGTGGGTTCCGGTGTAACAGATTTACAACTGACCAAATTTTCTACATTCGTCAGATACTAGAGAAAACCTGAGAGTGCAATGTGATAGTCCATCAACTACTTATAGACTTCAAGAAAGCCTATGACTCAGATACAAGAAAAGCTCTTTACAATATTTTGCTTGAATTTGGTGTGCCTAAGAAGGTAGTCAGGCTAACTGAAATGAGTTTAAGTGAAACCTCCAGCAAAATTCATGTTGGTAAACATTTGCCCAAATTATATTTCCTATTCAGAATGGCCTGAAACAGGGAGATGCTTTACTGCCACTGCTTTTTAATTTTGCCTTAGAATATGCCATCAGGAAAGTCCAAGAAAATCAAGGAATTGAATGGGACACATCAGCTTTTGGTCTACGCTGATGATCTGTTGCCCAATTATACAAATACTATAAAAGCAAACACAGAAACACTCTTAAGGGCTCTTACGGATGTTGGTCTAGAAATACTTGCAGAAAATACAAAGTGTATGATCATGTCTCAGCATCAAAATTCAGGACAGAACCAGAATACAAAGATAGCTAATGTATCGTTTAAAAACGTGACAAAATTCAAGGACAACACTAATAAGTCAGAATGACATTCATGACAAAATCAAGAGCAGATTAAATTCAGGGAATGCTTGCTATCATTCAGTCCAAAATATTCTGTCTCATATCAAAAAACTAAAGATTAAAATATACTAAATATGCGCTGGTTCGAGTCTCAGGGAAAGAAATCTCTCATGAGCTTTCGACTGGTGTATGGGACCGGTGCCAACCCAGCATGTGAGGAAATTGGGGAGCTATAATGGGTAGCGTAATCCGGTCATGAAAACTAGCAATGGCTGGGGGTTCGTCGTGCTGACCACACGTCACTCTATATCTGGTTGGATGATCGTTCTCCTCTGCTCAGGCATGTGAACGTTAGGCCAGTAGCCAGCTAGTCGGCTTAGGCTCTCAGAGGGCTGTTATGCCATGGATTAAATTAAAGTATAATTTTGCCAGTTGTGGTGTATGGGTGTGAAACTTGGTCTATAACCTTGAGGGAGGAACATACATTAAGGATCTTTCAGAAAGTAATGTTCAGGAGGATACTTGGACTTAAGAGGGAGGAAGACATTTCATGGAAAAATTGTATAATGATGAGCTTCATGGCCTGTACTCCTCACCTGATACAGTCAGAGTGATAAAACTGAGAAGGATGAGATGGGCACACATGGCGAGGGGTGTTTACAACATATTGGTTGGGATGCCTGAGGGGAGGAAACTGCTGGTAAGACATAGGTGTAGGTAGGAGGATAATGTTATGATGGACCTTAGGGAGATAAGAATCAATGGAGCAAACTGGATGCAGCTAGCTCTGGACAGAGTCCAGACAGAGGCTTCTGTGAACACGGTGTTGAACCTCAAGGTTCCATAAAGAAAGTGGGCTATTCTTTGACAAGTTGAGTACACAATCAACTTTTCAATAAATTTTCTGCACCACAGTCAGTGAATGATATGTTTAATATTACTGGCTTATTGCTTTGAAGAATATGTGAAATACAAATAAATTGTTAGTTTTAAATTATTACAATGGGGATACACTGAATTGAGCTAGCTAAAGTATCAAACATGCTGACACCTTTTGCACGAAAGGTACTAGTTGGGTCTATTATGAGGTTAGTTACTGGTATCCCATGTGAGGGCATGCATTAAATAATATCCTATCTTGAGACCATTTTCCTATATCAAAGAAGGAAATAATGCTGGCTCACGTTCACTTGACAGCAAACATCTTACATTTATTCCCGTTTTACTTTCCTGCGTGCAACTTGACTGACAAAACCGTGTCTCCCTGTCCAAGTCTGGGTCCACTTTGACTGCATTACTCTGTAAAACAATGTTTACATGAACTACTAAGAGTACCAGAACTGGTTTCTCTCATTTTACGTTCACATTTTTACGAAAAATATTCATGGCAGTGTTAAAAATCTTAAGGGTATTTTCGTATCGATTGCCAGATTTAGGCGGACAGGTTAGCACTTATTACTTACTTCTTTCTTCAAGTTAACATATGTAACACAATCTGTGTAATACTTAAATCTGATGTCCATTTCATACTCAGAAAATGAGTTATTCTTCGTATACGGAAGCAGAAATTATGCCTACATTATAAGAGTTAAATTTATCAATATGCTACATTTGGTTAAACTGTATCGTCAAACCCTCTTTGATCGTTACGTTGCTAGTTACTGGTTTTTCGGACTACTCGTCTTCGTGGAGAACGCCATTATACAACGAAATGCGAAAGCAGATTGTTCAAATAGTGACTATAAGTAGTAATAAAACTAATCACAACTTAATTGTGTGGCTTGCATTTATCGAAGAATAGGCCAGTAATTTATACTTCTAATTGACAAAATAAAGTTTTGTTACATAATTGAACAGGCACTTACCTGTGCGTGAATTACAGAATGTTGGCACTAGCACAAACCCTAGAAATTCCTACATTGCAATCTAAAAAATTCTTTGTCCAATATCCTTGGGTTCTTAATACTGAACTGAAGAATAAGTTGAACTATAACTCACACCTCCATGTGATAATGCTTAATAAGTACCAGGGACTTAACATTCTTACTTCGGCATGTGTTTGTACATAATAATGTACAGTAATATCTACTTCAAACTGTCTTCAGTTAGATTATTTATGTAGTAACTGTTTTCTAAATGATGAGATTATAATGAAAGTCACTATGTATGTTCTTGAATAAGGAAACTGGTCTTGAGTCAATTTTATATGTCAGAAACATATTTTTACACATCTAATACAATATATATATATCTATGAAATGTGTAAAAGATGTTATGTAGCTACTAACTGTTTACTTTATGTTCATACATAATTATTCATATAACGTTCTATTTCCTAATACATGAAATGTTGTAACCGAGCTGTTTGTGCAAACATGGACCATCCTACTTGCTACATGCCAACAATCTACAGACCTCCTTCATGAACCTGTTTGAATTTAAACTCTCTTCCAAGTAGGATTTGAAATTTTCATGGTGGTAGTCTAGGCCAGTCATTTTTCTACTGTCCTTGTTCATCCTCATCATGTCCACCCACCTCCCTTCAGTCTGGAGATCCGCCTGATGGACTCCAAGGGGCCCTTATAAGTGCTGATTCTCAGACCTTTCTTTCTTTCCTGTCCTTCCCATCTTGCTGGCCAGGCTG